AACTGTTATTTCAATGGGCTTCTGTGATTGGATAATGTCTCTCGTGTCGTCATTTCCTACTTGCAGCTCGTACACTTCCGGAAGAAGCGGAAGACAACAGTGGACAGTCACAGCTCACAAGCAACATTTTCAAATAAGAAGAAAAAAGACCGAAAGCCATTTTGATTTGAGTCGTTTGACAACCAAAGACCAACACTGACGACATGGTGAGTGACACTCCGCTTTGGCTCAACGTTAACGAAACATTCAACGTTCTATCGAAACAAACCCTACTTGGAGCAGTTTAGCTAGCGAGCGAGCGACTAACAACAACACGACTTCAGCAGAAAGCTGCTCTGTCATCATGGACTTTAGGTCCTGGGTGGATTGTACCAACTCACGTATAATTCATGTTATTTTAATAGGATTTGGTTTGTTCCACAGTTTTCCTTCCACGTATTCGACCACCCGATGTCTCGGGGGTTTCAGAACCGCTTCTCCACTCAGTACCGCTGCTACTCTGTGTCCATGCTGGCAGGTCCCAACGACCGCTCCGACGTGGAGAAAGGAGGAAAAAGTAAGTATTATTATTGTCACAAAATATGCCCCATATTCTTCAATACACTGCCTGTAAAATCGCGTCTTGGTCAAATCAAATCTCAATCAAATAATTCAATTGCAAACATTGGATTTTGTTTGTTGTAAATACAGAAATGCTTTTGAGTCTTCTCTTTATTGAATCTTTTAAATGATAATAACTAACTGAACGGAAATAATAATAGTAATAATGCCTTCATTTATATAACACAAAAGTTACAAAGTGCTCTACAAAGACTAAAAAAACAAGAGTTACAGGTAAGTAACGAAAACAATAGAAATGATAAAGTAATAATGCCAGGCGAGGTAGGAATTACTAAAACACAGTACATACAAGAAAAATAAAACGGAAGAATACACAATTTTGAGATAAAGCAATTCTGAAAAAGTGCATTTTTAAGATGTCAAACTTTGATTCTTCAGTCCACAATGCGTTTTCCCCACTCTGCGATAGTTCACTCCTTCTTTTTTTGCCCCAATCAAACCTAATGAAACCTGTATGAATGCAGTGTTTCCCAAATGTGATGGGGAAATTCAGAATAATCATAAAGTCACAAGAAACCTGAACTACCGTACCAGTGGGTCATCTCTGCTCTCTTGAGCTGCCAACCTATTGTTATGTAAGCTGTAGACCCCTGTGAACATGTCTGTGGATCTAGTTTTGATAAAGGTGTATCAGTTCAAGCTCTTTCCTATTTCTAAAAAAAAATGCTAAAATCAGCCATAGTTTTGAAAGATAAATTACATTTTACAGCAGTTTCTCTGTAATTCCTCAAAAATAACGGTGGTTTGCCCTTTTGTTTGTACGGTGATAATTTACAAACATTATTATAAAATGTTGCATCTTGCATATCTTATGTGTCCAAATACTTTGAACCTGAAGCAAAGATGTTTACATGATGTGTTGTCTCAGCTAATGGGCGGTTTATTTTTCAGTAATAATGCCACCTTCAGCCCTCGACCAGCTCAGTAAGTGCAAGTTAAATAAAACACCTCTTCATTACAAAAGTCCCGTATGAACCGTCCATGGATCTTAACCTTTCTGCTCCTTTTCCTTGTACAGGCAGACTTAACATCACCTATCCAATGCTGTTCAAGCTGACCAACAAGAACTCCGACAGGATGACACACTGCGGCGTGCTGGAGTTTGTGGCAGACGAGGGAATCTGCTACCTGCCTCACTGGGTGAGAAAAAGAAACAGTCTGAATTGTTTTCTGTTGATTTTAAAGCCACTTTGTAAGTATCCACCAAGGCAGCACTGTAGATCTGCTTCTTTCTGTTTGATGCAGATGATGCAGAATCTCCTACTGGAGGAAGGTGGTCTGGTCCAAGTGGAAAGTGTTAACCTCATGGTGGCCACTTACTCAAAGTTCCAGCCACAGAGCCCCGACTTTCTGGACATTACAAACCCCAAGGCAGTGTAAGAAATAATAGTTGGGAACATTGAATTGACCCGTTTTCACATGTAGGTTTTTTAACTATAGGGAGTGACTAAGTCGTCACTTTATTTCAGACTGGAGAATGCACTGAGGAACTTTGCCTGCTTGACAACTGGTGATGTCGTAGCTATCAACTACAACGAAAAGGTGAATTCAATTATTCAAATTGGTGTCGGACTAGTCTTTATGTTTTTGCTCTACTTTATACGACTACTAATGGAATCTGTGTTATTGTTTCAGATATACGAGCTGCGGGTGATGGAGACCAAGCCAGATAAAGCCGTGTCTATCATCGAGTGCGATATGAACGTAAGCTCCTCAAAAGCCGTGATTATCACAGACAACAGTGAAGTATTCTGTTGTGTTCTCCGCTTTAAATGTGTTATGACTCTGTTTCTCAGGTGGATTTTGACGCTCCTTTGGGTTACAAAGAGCCCGAACGACGACCCCAGCCCCAGGAAGAACCAACGGTAAGCACCGAACCCTAAAGGTACATGTACAGTTTGTGCAACAATTTGATTAAAAAAAAAACTCAATTCTTCACAGGAGGAAGAAGCAGATCCCACCAGCTACGCCGACATGGACCTGGGATTCAGAGTGAGTAAATGTTGCTGTGGGTTAGAGACAAATAAGCCGCGCTGATAACCGTAACAACTGCAGCTAATGTAACTTGTGGTGTGTTTCCTATCCTCAGGCTTTCACCGGCTCTGGCAATCGGTTGGATGGTAAACTAAAAGGGATTGAGCCCAGCCCCGTCCCTCTTGACCCAAGTGACATCAAAAGGTGATGTTCAGTATTTTATACATGTACACATGAAGTGGCCAAAAAAATGGAATATTGTAAAATAATGTTTGAACTATTCAACATGATAACGCTGCAACATTCTTAAGATTTTGGGGAATGACGTAAAACCAGGGTCCGATCTGAGGACGTTTATGGCCAGCACCTTAAATGTGCTAAATTAGCATTACTACAGCAACTTTTTCCCATGTAAATATATTGTGGAGTCGTGGCATCCTGAGCAGAGAAGGAAGTCGGTTACACTCTGTGTGTGTTGTAATCCGGGCTTCTCTGTGGGTTTTTTTTTTTACGTGCCCCACTGGCTAGCTAATCGCCGCCGCTCTGCACTGCGCTCATACGACAGTTAGCGCCGATAATGTTGTCGCGGGAGCGTATCAGACACCCACTGGTTCATCCTCAGGTTTGCTCTGTCAGCACTGTTGCCGTTGTTTGCACTGTCCGGGCTGTTAGCACAGTAAGTTGCTTGCCGTCGCCATGTTGAGAGCCGTGTGGAGGCAATCCCTCGATCATAGATTTGCTCTGGATTTAGTACCTTTCAAGCTCTAAGCCAGCTGGCACCCCACACTAAGTCTTCTTGGCCCTTTGGCTATATTTGACAAGACGTCTCAAAAAACACCCCGAAATCTTCCATGAGTTGGTTGTAGATCGGTTGGTGAGCTGAGTTTTGACATAGAATGTGACGGGTGAAGCACAGCAGATTGCATTGTGGACTGACACATTTATTTTTTCCTGTGAGTGAGTACTGACCACTATGGTACAGTACAGCAGGAGATGATATAAGGCTATGATGATGTTTGTGAGGTCTTTGACAAACAGCTGGAAATAATAAGTCTAACACCTGCTGGAGAATTGCCTGTGTGTAATTCATAGTTTGACCATTTAACAAATTGCTAAATCTAACAATAGACTTGCCTCGCTTTGCAGTGTTTGACTGCTAGAATGTGTCAAATTGTCATTTTTTTACTGTTGCACAATGGGACATTCATTTATGAATGGTCAGAGTTCCACAGTGTAAGGAGACACTTAAGCTGTTCAATCTTTATTTTACTATATGTCACTCAACATTGAACCATTCTAGCAGTGCGTTTTAGCCTTGAGTGTAAATTCTTAACCTTGAACTCTGAACTTTCATTTCACAGAGGCATTCCCAACTACGAATTCAAAGTTGGCAGGATCACCTTCATCAGAAACTCGAGGCCTCTGCCCAGGAAATTTGTAGATGATGTAAGAAATGTGGAGGATTTAATCATACATTTGTACATATTACACTAGGCTGTATTTACAGTGTTTCAGTTTCTCACACTCTTTTCTGGTACAACCTTTTTGTTCATAGCACTGGAACTAAACAATTGTATTGTGTCATTCATTCTATTTGTCTATAATGAATTCTCTAAATACATTTTCTTGTAGAACTCATGCTGTAATATTCCAGTCATAACTATTTTAAAATCTCTTTTAACCCCCCCCAGGATGATGCCCTGAACAGATTCATCGCCTTCTCTGGAGAAGGACAATCACTACGCAAGAAGGGCAGAAAGCCTTGAAGGATTCTAAGTGGAGAGACTGGATAATGTGCACGGACTCACCATATCAATTGTTACCTGCAACAGCAAAGTAAAAAAAAAAAACTGGCCTTCATGTGCACTGCTGGGATTTTATTTGTGTCCCTTTGAAATGTTTCTGCTGTTGAGCTGGGATTCTATAGAATTAAAACTCTGACAGTAATATCTTTGTCAACAAAAGCCGAGCTCCGTTAAATTGCGGTCTGGAGTTTGTGGAATAAATATGAATAAATTATATCACCACACCACCAAAAACAAAAGAATAACTTGTGGAGTATAGTTGTGATATTAGAACATTTCCCCCCTTTTTCCATGATTGTTACATTTATACAATTTACTTTAGGTATACTGTTATCTAGAGTCCCATTCTTATAAAATGGGAGCAATAATAGCTCAATACTTTTGTTTTTAATTATAATGAAAATCATTTTATGTTTGGGTTTTTTGAGTTAAATGAGTAATTTTTGATTCCCCCTTCTTTTTTTTTTTCTTGGTTTATTTATAGACAAATAAAGGATTGTTTGAAATTGATTGTCACTAATAGTTCATTTTGTAATGTCCAAAACAAACTACATAATGAAACTAGTATATAATAGGATGTTCCTATGGCATTTTTCTTGACTTGGAATTAGACACATTTATTTCCAAAAAAGCAGATATGTCTGGTTGTCCAGTTCTAATTAGACAGTGTAATGGCAGGATGAATTGACGAGTAATAAACAAGTAATGCATACTTTATAACACCAACATATGGCGGAAAAACAAAGATGTCAAAGAAGAAATGTCCATATTTGTCCAAAACAGGTTCTTGTCTTAACAAATGCAGGGTAATCATGGTTACTACAATGAGGGGATGTTTGGTTAGTGATGACTAGTATTAGTCATTCATGTTTTTGTTTCGTTTTGATGTTTGCTGTCCGAAAGTGTTTAGTGAGTATTTCTTAATGGGCTTTTATTTTGAAATGTACTCGAACCGGATGTTTTGTCGCTGTATTTGCTAGCGCGGCTAGCAATGGACCGGTCTGGTAAAGACGTGTGGAGGGTAATTTTACAGTTCTTGTGTTGTTAGCTTACTTTTATGATTTACTTTCATCTACCTTGTTTTTGCTAGTCCTGATTATGAATGACAAATGCCAAATCTGACCCAAAATAGTTACCACGGTGATTAACATTAGCTATCGTTGCTAAATTGCCTTTAGCTAGCAATAAGCAATGTCAGGTAAACGAGGTCTTAACAGAAACTTTGCTGTTTAGCGTGATCTTATTCATGGTTTGATTTGAAATCTATTGTTACTGATCTACAAAAAACTACATGTAAATGTAGTTAGGTAGACGCTGGATCAGCCACAGACCAAACTGAGGTTTATACACATTAGCGACCTAAGGGAGGTGCTGTCAGACTGTTTATTTTCCTTTTTTCTTCTATTGAAAGTAACGTTTAGTCAACACTATTGCATTTTTAAAAAGCAATGAACAGTATTGCATAGAAACGATGTTTACGATAGCGTCTTTGCTAGTGGACGATTCATTAACTAGCCCCAATATATCTATTAACTTCATGTTTTAAATAAGACATTATGAAATGCATCATATGAATAATAGACAAAATAAAGACTATAAAAGCCTTAGCCAGCTCCACAAGTTAGGCACTCCCCAGGTTAATCCTTTATTATGTCTTGCACGAGCTTGTTAGATGTAACCAGAAAAGTGAAAGTGATGCAGTCACTCTCCAGAGACACAACATTAGAGGGTCAAAATATAATTTGGAACAAGTTGTACTTGGTGATGAGTCCTGCTTTTGTCTGCTTGTACAGCCGCCCCGAGCCTGTGATGACTACTGGAGTGAATTCAGACATTGCAAAAGCTTGAAGAACCGTTTTCACCACTATTACACGTACGGCACCTCGCCATCCTGCCAGCAGTGGAAGGAGGACTACCACACCTGCAGAGAGTGGGAGAAACACAGAGCTGCTGAATCCAAGGTACAGCGTCAGAAAGTCACGTGGTTTCAATTGTAAAAACCTGTGATTAAACTGGTAATATTCATGGTGCCTTAATCTGAGTGACCTGAAGAACCAAGAAAAAAAATCTATAGCTTGGAATTATAACATTTTTTTACGTAACCGGGGTTGCAGGAAGCCTTGCAGAAGAGTGAAAGGAACAGAGTGGCAGAGCAGAGAAACTTCACCCCGGTGTGGGAACTGAGGCGAGAGCCTCCCAGAGACTGGCACATGCCGCTGAACCAGGAAAAGCCTCAGGACTCATGATGACCGGTCACTATTGACCTGACAGACACTGGTCACTTGTTGCCATGTCAAGCTGTATTCAGTGAGCTGCTGTGTGAAAACAAGCATGCATGTTTAAACAGCGGTAGCAGCACCTAGTGCTCACTGATGAGTATGACAGCATCTGTATTTATCCAGCAAATTACAAGATGATCTCTCCGAAGGCATTGTTGTTTTTTGTCATAAATTATTAATTCTTTAAGGCTAGTGTAAAAATACAAATGCACTCAGACTTGCTGTAAATGAGTTTAAAGAGGAGTTTCCTTGTTTTTCTGTGTTAAGCATGAGAAATGCAGAATATTGGGTCAAATAATGCAATGGATACATTTTGAAGATTAAATGTATTTCACCCAAGTAATGAAGTATCTGTTGTGTTTCCATAAGGCTGAGATTAATAATTAATGCTGCACTAGAAAACACTTTTGAAGGCATTAAACAGGAGTTGGCCACAGTAAGTCTGTCAACATTTCCCAGAAGCACCGTAGTCTCTTCAGTTTGTGCTGTAGATACTTCTGTGATTAATATATTATAAATGCAATAATATAACAAAATTCAGCTTTACAGCTTCAACTCATAGCAGTTTTCTGTCTCATTTCTGTGATAGTTTCTCCTAAAATTACACAAGAGGCTTAAAAACATTTTTGAACAAATTTGATCAATAAAAAGTGGTTTTATTTCCTGTTTCTTCCATTATGTTTTATACAGAGACTTTAATGTGGAGGAAAAAGAACACCATGCATGCTGTTGCATTTGATAGACATGAATCAACTGAGGTGACCAATTCAAGAAAGGAAAAAAAAAAAACATTCACATGAAGGCTGCATGTTGGCTTAATAAATCATGTAAAAACAAGGACACTAAATACACACAGGCTGCACCCACAGCCCTCCCTTGTCCATCACTGTGTGTAAACTTTAGTAATGTTGTTGTATTTCCCATCTGGAGCTTCATATTTGCTCTTCGGCGGCGTGTAGACAGGACCGTCGTGAGTGAAGGGAAACAGAAGGGGGTCTGGCTTCAGCGCCGCCTGGTACAGCTCCTCAGACTCCAACTTCAGCTCCTCCAGCGCCTCCCTCTGTGCTTCTAGAGAAAGCTCAACAGCCTGAACTTCAGCCATGTGCTGCTCCTGCAAGAGCAAAGACAGAAGAGCACATCAAATATAGCCCACTTAGTGCGCACGATGGAGAGCAGAGGTCAGAGGCAAGATTTTTCCATAAAAGCTTAGGCGATGGAAGTGTTATCGGTTAAGTGGTGACCTGTTTGTATCGACACCACTCCTTCAGCAGCAGGGCACGACCCTCGCTTTCTTCAAATGACAGCCTGGGTGCAGAGCGTTCCCTTTGTGCGAGAATAAGAAACATCAATTTACAGCACTTTAAAGTCAGTGAGCACTAAATAGCAAGGAAAGAACAAAAAGGTACAGTAAGTCAAATAAAAAGGAGGCCAAATGATACATAAACAGCAAATGTGTCCATAAAATGTTGTTTTAATGTCTGCCTGCCTTAATGCTAGAGGACTTTGTGTAGTTAATTTACTGTTTGGAACAGCCAATATGATCTTGTTCAACAACAGTTGTGGTGTAATTTATGTCACATCCATCCCTAAACCCCTATATCCTAGAGGTGATCAACAAAAATGTAAAACTTTTAGCTATCTTCAGCCTGGGTACCCCAAATAAACTGATTTTTACACATTAAAACTCAAGAGTGTTTTGAACTCTGATGTCAACTGAATCTTTGGAGAACAGAAATGAGCTGTACCTTGTTTCATCCAAGCATTTGGCCGGAGTGATGAGGTCCTCTATGGGGATAAACTCAGGCGCGACCTTCTCCAGCTTCTTCAGCTTTTTTCTCATCCTCTCCTTCAACATCTGCTCCCTTCTTGGGTCCACTTTTTTCTTCTTCTTGGGCTCTGCTCTTAAACACAAAGCACAGCTCTGTGAGCATAATAAACTGCAATATATATTTTAAATTAAATCTGGGAAACATATATTGATACCGTGACATGAAACATGACATTGTCTGGGATTTTCATAGTGATCTAAACAGAAACAAATGCCGTCATATCAAGTAGTTTTCAGTGTTGACTTGAGCGTAAATTGCGAATTATTTTGATTGTCAGCTGTTTGGGTCATTATGAAGCAACACTGCCATTCTCTGGTTCCAGCCTGAAATGTAAAGACTGCATCACTTTATTTGCTTTTCTCCCTTTTATATCATCATAAATGACACTTATGACATCAAGACGGCCCTTTGGATTCTGGAAACTTGAGGTTGACAGTTTTGAGCATTAATTGATTTTTAAAAAAAAGAGATGATCAATTAAATGTAGGATCTGTCTCCATTGAAAGTGGGTTTAAGTAATGCATGTTCCCAACAAATTAGCAATTCATCAAACAAACAAAAAACAATTGACATGCAGACAAACTGGGACTTTTGCTCATACCTCAGTGAAGCAGATGTCTTCAGTGTCCTCACTGGTGCGAACCAGGGACTCTGTACAGCATGATGATGTTCTCCCAACAGGAAGCTGTAAAACGAAGAGCAACTGTCAACCACAGAAGTGATTAGCAGCATTTCTCTACTGAATAACCTTAGCTATGTTAGCACTAGGTAGCTAGTACCTACATTGTTAACCGGTCATACCGCAAACACTCACCTTGACGGAACGGTCTGTCGGGACAACACCCTGCAGAGACAGCGCGATAAAGCAAAAGACATCTCTCCACCGTTTCACTGTTTCACTTTAAACACCCTTGCTTCGCCTGTCCCCCAAGGATGTTGTGCTGTCTCCTTGCTCGAACGATAGCCAGACGTGGCGCGAGAAGATGACGTTGTCGAGCTGTCACGCTCACAATTTCACGGGCGCACTTTCGTGTATTTTGTATGTGCAAATAATTACATAAAATGCATTAAATACAGAATACTTTGTAAAGAAAACCAATTATAAAATGATGCAGGACGTTACTGTTTTTTAACAGTTTAATATTGTCGTAGTTTGAATATATATATATATATGTAACATTTTTGTCGAATCTTACTGGACGAGTGGAAAATTGGCGGCTGAAGTATTTAGAGGAAAGGTCGCAGTTTTTTTTCCTCATTCAGCACGGACTCATCCAGAGCACAGTGAAACAAGAAGACATCAGTGGAAGAGTTTGATCCTGACAGTGGTGTTTTGATAATTCTGCATCATGGCGCTCCTCAGAGGTAAACAAGCTTGTTTCAGTTCAGCGGGAGGCGAAAAAAAGCAGGTGGACCTTTGAAATGGTTAATGTTGGGGCTTAATTTCTCCTATTTGTGTCTCAGTGTAGGATTACCAGTGACCTAAAATGAATGAAGTTATCTCTGAAAGTTGATTTTATGTAATTATATGTCAGTAGATATGTTTTTCAAATCACAACGTCACTGTGAAATAGGTGAAAGGTCACAAGATGGTGTCAAGATCATTATCAGCTTGTCGATAGCTTGTCCACAGTTACCTTTCGATCCACTGGAAAAATAATAATATTCATCTCACTTAATTACCTCCAGTGATGGAGGGAAGGAAAGGAGAAGTAAAACTATTTACAGAGCGACCTATGAAAGTGAATATTAGTTAAGATGTATTCCACTTAGAATTGTCTGCATTTTATTATTTAAAATGAATTGGCATTAACTTTAGTAAGGCATTACATTATCGTTACAAATACGGTATTGGATTAAAAATATTGTGTCACTACCGTGTACGCAGCAGCGTGGCAGGTCAACTTGCACCACACTAACCACTTCAGGGTAGTTGAATCTAGAGCTAGTCTGAATACAGGTTTTTAATGTAAAAATTAAAAAACAACAACGTATTTTTGAGTAACTAGTTGTAACAACAGATCTCAGATAAATGTAGTGAAGTAAAAAGTACAATATTAACCTCTAACATTTAGTGGAGTGGAAGTGTTAAGTAACTTAAAAGGGAAAAACTCAAGTAAAATACAAGTACTTCTAAACTTTAATATAGTTACTTGTGCAAATACAACTGTACAACTTTCACAACACTAAACACACCCCTCCAGCACGAGTCAACAGTTCAATGTATGATTTAAACACGAGAAGGCATATCAACACAGTATTTCAAGATAACCATCATACTCATAATACCTAGTGACTTGGGTTTTATGAAAGGATTGAATGCAAATACATACTTTTATATAATAATAATAATAGGACATTTTAATTACTTATTTTCTCTTTCTGAGGATTTGCACATGAAGCAAGTTGCAGAAGATTTAAACCCTTTGTTTAATATACAGTATGTTTCTTATAAAGAAGTTCCAGTTTCACTGTTCTAGATGTAGTTACGTACTCCTCTTGTCCCTCCAGTCCAGTTTTATCTATCTGATGTTATTTTCCCTATAATACTGCATCTTCATCTTCTGCATCTCAGTGCACTGGCTGTGCCAACCAGCAGTCGTAGGCCTCATCACCGGTGTGATGAACTTTTTAACCGACATTTTTCAGTTTTAAATGCAGCAAAACAGGATATCGATTCTCTACAAAAACACATAAAAAGCATCAGTGAGAGCTGTAAGGTGTTAACACTACACCATGAGTCAAATCTAAAAGAACGGTTTGGTAGGTTAGATAGAAGCAGAAAACGAGAGCTTCCTGACAGACTAAAAGAGACTGCAGGAATGAAAGCATCAAAAATATTTGCAGTGTGCACCGCCCAGTACGTCCTGACCCCGTGACCCTGGCTGTGGCTCAGTGGTGGGTGCTTTAAAGTCAAACTCTGTTTGGTTTTATCTCTGCAGGTGTATTTGTTGTAGCTGCCAAGCGCACTCCGTTTGGCACCTATGGTGGCGTGCTGAAGGATCACAGTGCAACAGACTTGGCTGAGCATGCGGCCAAAGCCGCCCTCGCAGCAGGGGGCGTGGCTCCAGAACTTGTAAACAGTGTCATCATGGGAAATGTCATGCAGGTACCCAAAATCTAACAGATCCACAGCTACAATTAATAGATCACTACTACAATCACGTGAAAATCTTGACGAGTGTACTTGATGCTGTCCTCACTGTTTAGTTTCATCTACCCCCCTAATTTCAGAGCTCAGCTGATGCACCCTACATTGCTCGTCATGTGGGTCTGAGGTGTGGTGTTCCGATCCCAGTGCCCGCTCTCACTGTGAACAGACTGTGTGGATCTGGTTTTCAGTCCATCATCAATGGTGCTCAAGTAAGCACTCCACCGAGAACAAAAACATTCTGGGAGAAATACAAATGTAGAATGAATCATAATATTATGCACTATGGACACTAATGTATATGTGTAAAAGTACATGCATTAGTAAGAGCACAATATATCAATTGCACATAATGTGTCTCATCTTTGGTCTGTTACCTTGTGTGCTTGTAGGAGATTTGCCTCAGGGAGTCCGAGGTGGTCCTGTGCGGAGGCTCAGAGAGTATGAGTCAGGCCCCGTACGCTGTTCGCAACATACGATTTGGTACAAAGTTTGGACTCGATCTCAAGGTTGGCTTCTTGTTGATTTTTCTCTGCTCTCTAATCAACACTTGACACAAATGTACATGAGACGCTAAGACCGCTTGTTTTTAAACTCCAGAAGCTTTTGCTGCAAAGATTAAAAAAACTTTCCTCGTCTTCCTGACAGCTAGAGGACACCCTGTGGGCGGGCCTGACTGACCTGCACATCAAAATCCCAATGGGCATCACAGCAGAAAACCTGGCAGAGAAATACCAGATCACACGAGAAGAAGTTGATAACTATGCATACCAGACACAACAACGGTGGAAGGCAGGTAAGACGGGTTTCGTTCTTTGATATCTTTTCGAAATATTCACAATCTGCTCACCACGTTAAGAAGTTAACTCATTCTTAATAGTTAAATCGTACCTGTTCTATTCACAGCTCACGAGGCTGGTTACTATACAGCGGAAATTGCTCCCATTGATGTGAAAGCTAGGAAAGGCAAGGTGTCCATGACCCATGATGAACACCCTCGTCCACAGACCACTATGGAACAGTTGGCCAAAATGCCTACTGTCTTCAAGAAGGGAGGGACTGTTACCGCTGCCAACGCTTCGGTGAGTTCACGCCTTACAGCCACATGTGTGTGTTACGGGCACATGTCCTCCGAGTTTTTAAACTTTAAATATAATTCTTACTTGTTCCGTTATCTTTGCTCAAGCTTAACTAAACAGCCTGGCTGAGAGTGAGCCTGGGAATTTAGGGAGCAGTGTTTCCTACAGGATTTAGCAATACTGTGGTGGGTGGACCTCGGACCCCAAAGTGGGGGCTCAGGGGCATGCTCCCCCGGAAGAACGATTAAATGCATCAATCTGGTGCACTTTGAGCGCAAAATGAATGGGATAGATCTTTGAAGAACTTTGTGCTCTTGTAAACAATTGTGTGCTTTAGTAAACAATGTAATCATAAACACATTTGTTGTATGGATATGAATGGCATGGTAAAAAAGTCGCACCCACAAAGCGAGATGGAAGTTACGCTTGAAGCCCGAGGGCCTCTAGTAGTTCACTTTTTAAACACCAAGGGGCCTGGGGGCTCTCACACTGAAAGCGCTAAGGGGTCTGGGAGGCCCTAGTGGTTAACTCGCGCTATAATCACCCAGGGGTCTCTTGGGCAGCTTGCATTGTGCACACTGAGGGCCCTGGAGTTCAGATTGCGCGGCCTGAGGCTTAGAGGCCCCTTGGCAGTCTGAGACCTCGGGGCACTGGCCCCTCTGGCCCGGTCCACAACTACAATCCAACAGTGCTGTCTTAACTTCAGGATCTGAGGTGGTCCATTTCTTTTTTGTGGTCTGTTTTACTTCATTTAAAATACATTTAATTTAGTTTTTAAAAGGACTTATGACTTGTGTCAGTGTCCTTTAGAGTTCCACAGTTTGATTTACAGTAAAACAAATCATGCAACTATTGTTACTGTCTGCCACCATGGTGGGAAGTAACTGACTATTACTGAATCTACCCCTCTCTCCTTTAATCTCCAGGGTATATCTGATGGTGCTGCTGCTGTGGTGATTGCAAGTGAAGATGCGCTGAGTGAACACAAGCTCTCTCCTCTGGCCAGAATTGTGTCCTATCATGTTTCAGGCTGTGACCCGAGCATTATGGGAATTGGTAAGGGACACCACTGTTTTGGAGATGTAATTTAATCCCTTTGAAATAAAAGGAATGAATGACTGTTGTGGTATTTGGTTATTTTAAAGAAAGAATTTCTCTGGTGTCTTTTAAACATCTTAGGTCCCGTTCCAGCAATCACAGAAGCTCTTAAAAAAGCCGGTCTGACTCTCAACGACATGGATCTTGTGGAGGTTTGTTATCAGTGAAACACTAATCATTGTGACTTTCTCCATCAGATTGTGTCATACATTTCATCAGTGTTGGAAGAAGTACTCAGACCTAAGTCCAGACTTAAGTAGAAACACCAATACGCAGTCTAAAATACATTCCATTACATGTCCTGCATTTAGAAATGTACTGATATAAAAGTACACAAGTATTATCAGCAAAATATACTTAAAGTATCAGAAGTAAAAGTGAAATGTCCCCTGAGACTGATATACTATTATCTCCGCCTGGGAGGTCATGCGTGCCACCCCTGTGTCAGTCCACGGCTAATCTCGCACTCTGCTGCTGCAAACGGCAAAATATTTTGGGTGCACAGTTATGGCTGCATGTTCAAGGACCTCTCTTGGTTGTGGTTAGTCACAGTTTCTCAAAACACCTTTCATTGCCTGTTTATTCCTGCTATTGACTGACTGCTGACTCCTCACTCACTGAGTGCATCACCAACCTCCAGCCAATACTGAGTGACCAAAGACACAGTTTGCAGTGTGTATTTGGCTAACAGCTTACAGGTGTACTATATCTATCATGCACTAACTGCTGGGTATTTGGACCGCTGCTCTGCTGCTGACTTTTATTGTTTTATACTGTGTGTTTGGCTAACTGCTAACAGAACTACTACTACACTTATTGCTGTACCTCGCCGCAACTCAGCCACTGCTAAGTGCACTTTTCTAGTTGTGTCACTGATGTAATTTGCTTTGCACAGGTCAACGAAGCGTTTGCCCCTCAGTATCTGGCTGTCGCTAAGGCTCTTGGACTGGATCCAGCGAAAAGCAACGTTAACGGTGGAGCTATTGCCATCGGTCATCCTCTCGGTGCTTCTGGAGCACGTATCACTGCCCACCTGGTTCATGAGCTCAGGTAATTTTGTCTTTTAGTAATTACAGTTGTTGTGTACAGTTGCGGCGTTAGCCCAAAATATGTGGTTATTAGTATCAGGTGACATGTCTGCATATTAAGTAGCTTTAATTATGATCTTTGTTTTTGACAGGCGACGAGGAGGCAGGTACGCTGTTGGCTCTGCCTGCATCGGGGGTGGTCAGGGTATCGCCATCATCCTCGAAAAGTACTGACCCAAGAAGCTGCCCGTATCAGAAGAAGTACTGCTGAAGAATGTCTTGCCTCACCGTTGAGATTTTTTTGAAAAACCCTTTCACATACACATGAAATGTCAAATTTTGTATATATACACATGATCTAATAAGAATTTATACCAATGTAGTGGTAAGTAACAAACAATAAACAGTACTTTTTCCCTGGTACAAAAAGATGACTCAACATTAATTTACAAAAAAAGTGTAATAAATGTTTCAGTCCATTATTGCGTTGGAAGCCCTGTGAAGATAAAGAGCTACTGCACATTTCTGTGCTCGATGCCCGAGAGGGCAAGAGACTGTTTGTGTATGTGCCCGAGACACAGAGCTAGGTTCTTGGTTACATTAACATGTGTAGCATATTATTAACTCATAGAAGACAGTTTGTGTTGCATTATAGTAGAGTCAGAAAGGGACTCTGAACTCTCATGTTTTTCTTTACAATCTTCTCTATCACTCCATTAACAGGGATCATTATTTACAGAACATATGTCTGACCTGTGATGGCTCCAGCAAAAACTGATTTTGTAAATCTGCATCAAAGAATCGCAATAACATTTGCAAAAAAGTGTGCTTTTGAAGTTTTCATGATCAGCCCATGGTGGCAACCAATGCTATTTTTTTCTAGATTAGGAGGGAATTTTAAGATTAGGATTTAACAAACAGACACTACTTGTTCTTATTTTAGTTTTATTCTAAATATAATAATCTTTACAAAATTAGTTACCTTTGATTGTTGTTATATATGCTCAAAATGGTGTTAGGAAAACTGATAACACATCACCATAGAGAAAGGGGAACTGAATGTACTGAATGATATGAGACATTCATCTTCTCAATTAGTGGTAACCACCATCAATTAGTAACCACTCCCTTAAAACATTTTTAAAAAGTTGACAAAAGTCTGGATTTGATGTGTTAGACTTGATCTGGGAAAATATATGTTATGCTTTGCTGTCACTGAGATTGTTTAAGGATTTAAGAAAAGTACGACGTTACATTGTTTGTTGTCCTTTACTTATGTTTTTTATTTATTTAGAAGCTCTATGCAAGCATTAATTGTTTTATTGTTTGTATCAGCAGACAAAACAATACTATATAGAGATAAATGTGTTTACTAAAGCAACTGAAATCTAACTAGAAAAATATGTAATGTTATTTGTTGAAAACAATTTCAATGTTGATTTTATTTCAAATTTACAATGAGAATTAAGGGGAAATATGTGCAGGACTACAAGGACCAACACATCCTTGAAACGCGACGCAATTACGTAAACGTCATCGTGCAGCGTCAATATATACGTCACATCCCCGGATGTCGTTCTTTTTTCCGTAGCAAAGGTAAGACAGGCTGGCCTTCATGTTTCTGGTCGAATAAAATCTGTGTTCATCTGCGTTATAGAATAAAAATATTCGTCTCAAAACACCAGGAAAGGAATCCTTGTATCAAGAGGATACGTTATCCATCGTTATGGCGGCGATTTGTCCGTGGTGTTTCTGTGATAATGAATAGTTTGGTGTATCTGCAGTCCTAGGCCGCCGGCTAGCCTTCGTGCTGTAACGCTAGCTAGCTAGCTTATAAAGCTAAACGTGTTGTCGTTAGATGCGGTGCTGTTAAGCCGCACAATTCCTCGCATATTACGTTCTCTTAGAACATTAAAGTTAAATTGTAATTTTGAGAAGACTAAGTGGTTTGTGAACCAGTAAGGCGACTGTGCAATGTTGCTAATTGCTCGCGAACGTTACATCTCATGCTTGTTGTGCATTGGCGATGGCTGTGGGGTTGAGCACTCAATCAAACGCATTTGACTTAATAACGTAGTCGTTTGACGTTAACCCGGTTATGTTATCTTACTCTTTCCATGTTAAGTAATGTATTGTCAATTAGGAACACTATTTCCATAACGGCTGTAGTAGTATTAAATGTAAAAGCTAGTTGTCTCTACGTGATACCAGAACCATTGAACTACAGCATACAATGTACTATCCAACCAGAGCTGGAATAATGTTATTAAATGTGAATTATTTCAAATAAAACCCTTTGAAATTGTTACACGCAATATTGCAGCAGTTTGTGTACTAACCTGTTATACTTTTCTCTGTCAGATGGCAGAGGGCGACAAGAAAGCTCCCAGGAAGAAGCACGGGAGCCGGAACCCGGTTCTGGCCCGGGGTATCGGCCGTTACTCCCGGTCAGTTATGTACGCCCGCAGGGCCATGTACAAGAGGAAGTCAAAGATCACTGAGACCAAGGTGAGAGCAGATCTGTGATGGCCAACAAAATGATTAATAAAAGAATACATGTCACACTTTCTTTATCTAGTATTGATAATAATATGCTCTTGTTTCAGATGGAGAAAAAGGTTAGGACGAAGCCTCAGGCGACTGTTGTCAAGACAGTTGGAGGAGACAAGAATGGAGGCACTCGTGTGGTCAAACTGCGCAAGATGGTAATTATTTCCTATTCAAATTATTGTGAGCACAAATGGCGTACAGAGTTTTTATTTCAAGGACAGTGAGTCAGTCCTCATCCCATTACAACTTGTCATACGAGCTGATAAAGCAATAGCGTACTGGATTTAAAATGCTAACATGTATTTTCGTGTGCTCCTGCTGTAGCCTCGCTACTACCCCACAGAGGATGTCCCCCGTAAACTGAAGAGCCACGGAAAGAAACCCTTCTGCCAGCACAAGAGGAAGCTGCGCAGCTCCATCACCCCAGGAACGGTCCTCATTCTGCTCACTGGGCGCCACCGTGGAAAGGTGAGAACAATTTCTAGCACATCTCGACAAGTTTCCATGTTTTTAAGGATTAGCTGAAATGGCCCGACACAGGTTGTAAAACACACAAGTATAATGGGCAAAATGTACCTGCAACACAATGCTTCTAGCTCTTTGGATAAGATCAACAGGTGAATATGTAATAGCCCTTGTATGATGGAGCAGCCATCATGTCACACAGGATACGATTAGAGTCCAATGTTAGGTTTTATTTATCTTTTGAGTTTGCTTCTAGGACTAAAAGAGGAGAATCTCTCTAACTTTATGTTTCACAAAATTAGTTTGACAGATTATTGAGGATAAGTATTAGTAATTATGATCTACAAATGTGGAATCTGTGAACCATATGTAAACAAAAGGACCTCCATAAAAATGTGGAAGCTGCATTCTTGTTGCTGGGTTTTTATTATGTAGGATTGTTGCAACAGGAGCTGTTGAATGTAGTTTAAAGGTTTGTAACAGAAGTTTTTATATTGCATTATACATTGAAGATTATTGAAAGGTTTGTATATGAATACCAGTATACACTAAAACTTCTTGCTGTCCAATTGTTACTGTTGGGCACTATAAAGTATTTCCAACACTGATAGTTTTCCATTGTTTAGGAATGTCAGAACACCTCAAACATTTTTTTCAGCAACAATAAAATAGTTATTATTGAATTAATACTGTTAGTTTTATGGTTGAACTCGGTGTAGTCGCCCACAATGGCAAAAAAACTATTTTGAATAAGGGTACATTTATATTGTGAGATGCAGGTGTCATCCTTTAAAATCTGTTGTTGAGGTTAAAAACACAACGGATTGAGAGAAATGCCACGTCGGCATTTAATCTAATCATGTGACACTTCACTGTACACCATTGCTAACACACACTGGCTGTATTCTGGCTAATTGTAATAGAGGTGGACTTGACTTTTTTTTAATGAGCTACATGATGGCAGTCCAGCGTTCAAGAGACTCCTAGAACACACCATATCGAAGGCTATTGTGCCCCCTTTTAAAAAGGAAAAAAATGGTGCATCTTTATTCTACATGAAAAAATATATTTTCTAGCGTGCGTGACACATCTTTATAATCACACACCCTCGGTACCACAGACATTGTCCCTCTCTCCCACACTAACGCTACATGGATAAGTTATGGAGGCATGCTAGTGTGCCCACACACACTTTGAGCAGTAGCTGACCTAAATAATGTTTCAGCTGTGAATCTGAAAGGCAGAGCGCTCCTGGTGAATTAAGTGTCAAGTAGATGTATTTTTCTGTCTATAGCTTGGCATCAAAGTGGATTGCAGATATTAAATTGGCACACGTGATTATGAGGTCATTAGTGAGCAAGCCCTCAATACAAGAGCTTCATACTAAAGTGAACTTGTTTTTGTTCTATAGCGCGTGGTGTTCCTGAAGCAGCTCTCAAGTGGTCTCCTGCTTGTCACTGGTAAGGATGACTGTTCTTGGTGGTTTAGATTGTTAGATAGTAACTGTAGCACAGCAATATGGCCATTTACTCCATCTCTAATGGTTTTATTTTTTGCGTACTTGTAGGCCCTCTTGCTTTGAACAGAGTACCCCTGCGTAGGGCTCACCAGAAGTTTTCCATTGCTACCAACACCAAAATCGACATCTCTGGCATGAAGATCTCCAAAACTCTGAACGACGCCTACTTCAAGAAGAAGAAGCTGAGGAGACCCCGTCACCAGGAGGGGGAGATCTTTGATACAGAGAAGGAGGTGAACTAACTTGAATATTGTCTTAAATACCAATAGTAATGATAATACTAATACCATTTTTAATGACATTTATGATACATGACTCATTGGTTTTCTCCTCGTCTGCAGAAGTACCAGCTGACAGAGCAGAGGAAGGAGGACCAGAAGGCTGTTGACGCTCAGCTCCTGCCCCTCATCAAGAAAGTACCTCAACTCAAAGGGTACCTGCGCTCTTCCTTCTGCCTGTCTAATGGTGTCTTCCCACACAAGTTGGTTTTCTAAATGTTGTAATAAAGAGTACCACCATATAATACCCTCTCCTGCCTCGTTTGTGCAAATTACAGTGCCTATAGATAGCTTAAAGGTGTCCTAGCATTTAAATTGCAGCCATCCTGCAACAGATTAAAATGCATTATTTAAAGTATTTTAACTGAAACTAATGGCACTTTGAATGTGTGAATTTACCGTCATCAGGGTTTATGGTGTCATGCAGGTGAAATTATTCTTTGCAACTAACTTTGATATTCTGAAGTGGGTCTTGAAGGTTTGTGCTGTTCTGAAACGGCTCACAGGAGCTGCCTGCATGATAAAGTGACTAATATTGATTTAACAGTGTAAGACCCCTGATGTGCCAGAGGCTTTCTACCCTATATTTGGCTTTCCAGACAAAATGTCTGCAAATATTTACCATAAAGTAATCTATACATATCAAAACATGACTAGTATCTGGTCCTGGTTAAATGTTTAATGAAGCAGTGCAATTAAATGACATCACCAGGCATTGGACCAAGACAGCTTAACAGCTATGCTTTAATTAAAAAAATGACATGTCTAATGTAACAACACAAAAATAAATACAAGTGTTTCATCTCTTTAACATGGCCACGTTTCTATCCTCAAAAACAGAACAAAGTAGAAAGCAGCACAGAAAAAGGCAGCGGCCCCTTGCCAAGGAATGATAAGTGCCTTTGTCGAATCAGTCAGTACTGTATTATGGTCAGCTGGTGTGGAGGAAACGCCTTCCCTCAGCCAGACTTAAACAGCAGAATGGCCACCTGACCCAAGTAGAAGTAAATGAAATGCTTGGTCTCATGGGTCACGTAGCTGCCAAAGTTCCTCCCAACGATGCAGTGCCAGGTCGGGTTGTATTTCTTGTCAAACTCCTGCGGGGGGGGGAATACACAATTGTGTTCGTCAAACACTTGAGGTGTGAAGAAAAGATGAGAACATGTTGCTTAATGATCACTAAGCAAGAGCTAAAACGGACACCTTTCTATTGATTTAAATGCTACATCTCAACTAACAAGCAACTATTTTCTGCAGATATTAAATTGTAGCTCAGAAGGTATCGGTATACTATACTAGTTTCACCTCAGAACATGCATGCATTACTCTTCCAAGTTGAGACTAAATACTATATAATGTCACTATTGAGCAAACCCAAAATACTTTGTCACTCAATGTTACCGAGTAGAAATGCATATTTTTACTATGCAGCCCTAACTTGAGCTGGATGATTTATTGGGAGAAGTCTGTGATAATTCTAAAATGGTAGCTCATTCGTTTTGTTAGATTTAAATAAATAAAATACATTTGCTTGATAAGCTACAGTATTTTACCCTGAAAATAATTGAAAGAACAAAAATTAAGATCATATTGCAATTATAGAAACTTTAACAATTGTTGCTTGTTGTCCCAGTCAAGAGTGGAAACTATTACCAATAGCAGGCTTGGTGTTCAACATCAATTATGCACACTGTGGTTGGTCAGTGCGCGCAACATAGCCTCACATCACTGGTTGCTGCTCATTTTATTAAAGAAAATACTAGATTTCAGTCGGTCGGTTGGAGTGATGGGAGATGCGTCAGCAGCGGTTTTACCTTCTTGATGTATGCAGCAATGTCTTTCTCGATGTTATACTTCTCCAGGGCCTGCGTGGCGCACTCCACGGCGTCCTGCTGCATGTCCTCCGACATGTCGGCGTTCTTGATCACTGCTTTTTTGTCAGACATGGTTGCCCTGGGAAACCAAAACACACCGGAGGATTATCATCTTCACGGACGCATTGGCGCGCGCGCGCACACACTAGACTCTGGCCCCTGAGCATCCCAACAGTCATCGATTGACCAACACGAAACCGTTTGGAGCACATAGCGTTACAGGCTCGAGAATAAATAAATAAACGGTTAATTGGTGACGATGTTGTCATTACATAACTGACACATAATGTGTGAACTGGCCGTTTCTACAAGTGTTGCATAACAACTTCCATCAGCGGAGAACTCGGTGGATGCGCGCTCTGCGTAGTTTCTATGGATACAAGACATTTGAGATGATCGTCTCCATATTACCCGAGGTTTAGACTCCTTTGACTCGTGAAGCTGCGAAAGAAAAGCACATTTTACAACTGCCTGAGGCTAGAGAGCGGCGATAGAGCCAGCCTCGCTTTAACACGCAGGAGGACCAAAACAAACACCACATCTTCATACTTATAATGTAGCGTTTGCCGTGAAAATGATTCAACAATAACGATATCCGAGTCAAGGTATCACGGGGTGAAACATCGTCACATGCATATTCGGAATGTGAGCTAACGTTAAAAAGCTCGATTACTAGCAGCACATTCATCCCGCGGAAGGAAAAACACCGTCTAACAGTAAGCACGGATGATACCAGTTCAACGACGCTTACAACTGAATAAATGAACCACCATACAACTTTCTACATGCCAAATTCTTCCATTTACCTTCTAGTCTTCCGTTTATAGTGTTTGTCTAGCTTTAAATAGACGACCGCTCCTGTAGTGACAACTCCCGCGAAGTGGTTGACACAAAAGTAGTGTGGGTGTGTTGGGCTGAGAGCTGCTGCCTCGACGTGTTCCGATTGGCCGGTATTATTGCACAGGGCACTGTCATTGGATCGTGCAGGTCTCTCTTTCGGGTGTTTCTGCCCGGGTTTTATTTCAGACCATCGTGCCTTGCGACACGATCGTTGCCGGGGCGACCCCTGTAAATAACTTGCTACGGGCAAGTTATGAGCGAGGTCGTCCATGCCTACTATGTTCCATGAGTCATTGGCAATAGACCGTGGCAGGATATGGAGTGGATTTATTTCATATTGTTGTATTTTGCACACATTGTGCATACTAACTTTATTTTTAATTATTTTATTTATGAATTATCCTTTAAATAAAAAAAATGGAAATAAAGTAAATGGAAACGCAAGTCGACCTAACATTAAATTACTTTGTTGCGAAAAGTTATAAATGACATACCAGCGTATTTCAAACTGGGAACGTTTCTCATATAATATATAACTTATACCTAAGGTGTATAATTAATGGGTTATTTCATAATATGGTAGGTCATAAAAAGTATAGTATAGCGTTCCATAAAAATGTCCTTAAAAAAAGTTATAATATACTACTATATCATAAAAAAGTAACAGGTTATAGTATTTAAAAAAATATTAATATTAACAGATATAGCATACTTTTCACAGAAAGAAGTCACTGTAAAGTATGTCATAAAAATGTTGTATAAAAATTCTAGTATGCCATACATTTTTCCTAAAGAATGTCATTGTGTGTGTCATAAAAAAGTCATAGTAGCCTACCCATCAGTCTTTAGAGTGTTAACACAAAATTATTAGCTAAAATATTTGCTTCCTGTCTGGAAAAGGTTCTTCTTACTATAATTTCGCCAGATTAAACAGGCTTTATTAAAAATAGATTTTTATTTTCCAATCTTTGCCGACAGAATAAACTAATGTATTCCTCTAACCAGATCTGTCAACCTCCAGAAGTCCTTCTCTAGCTAGACACTGAAGGCCTTTGACCAGGTCTAGTGGGACTTTCTCTGCTCTCCAAAAGTTTGGATTTGGGGAAAAATTCATCCTCATAGGGTTAAGCTATTATATGTCTCATTTTGCTTTGGTCCAGAGCTCTTCCTTCACATCAACATACTTCCCCTTACAACAAAGGACGAGACCAGATTGTCTCCTCTACCCTTAACTATTTGTGCTTGTTATCAAATCATTGGCTATTGCCCTGCGCTCCTTGAATGGCAGACGGGGTCCTGTGGGAGGGCGGCACAAAGTCTCATTATATGCCGATTTATTGTTGTACATAACAAATCCATCCAAAAAATTACCAAATGTCTCTTTTGAGGGATCACAGTCGGGTCTCAGGTTACAAGCTGAATTTGTTACAGAGTGAAATGTATCGTATAAATACCAAAGCCCGGGGTCTCTAATTTTCCCACCATGTCGAAAAAGTCAAATGAGCTCAAAGTGTAGAATGTTGAAAAGTCATAGTCGAGTACAGTATGTCCAAATAAAGTCATAAAAATGTATAGTACAGAATGTCGAAAAATGTCATGAAAAAGCTACAATAAAAATCATAGTATAGTTTGTTGAAAAAAGACAAAAGTTTGGTAGAAAAATCATATAGTATTTCGAAAAAAAGCCGTAGTATAGTATATCATAAAAAGCAATAAAAAACATTTAATGTCAGAGTATAGTGTGAAAAACTCACAAGTCATAGTATCTATCAAAAAGAGTCATAGTGTAGTATGTCAAAAAAAAATCATATTATAGTATGTCACAGAAGCAATAAAAAAAAATCATAGTATAGTATGTCTAAAAAAGTCATGAGAAGTCTGTTTTATGGCTTTCTTCGACATACTAAACTGACATAGTATAGCATATAAAAATTGTCAGAAAAATACTTTGTATAGTAAGTAAAAAAAATCATAAAACGTAATCGTAAAGTATTTTGAAAAAAGTCACAGTATAGTATGTTGAAAAAAAATCAGAATAGTATGTCAAAAAAAGTATATGTCGAAGAAATCATAAACAGTCATAGCATGTCAAAATACTATATGGTAAATGGACTGCACTAGTATAGCCCTTTTTAGTCCACTCAAATCGCTTTAACACTACTTGTCATCATTCACCCATTCACACACTGATGGCAGGGGCTACCATGCAAGGTGCCACCTGCCCATCAGGACTCTAACGAATCAGTCATAGGAACAGCCTGCGGAGCAATTTGGGATTAAGTGTACAAGGGAACATCAACATGGACTAGCAGAGACGGGGATCGAACCGCCGAGGAAGGAGGACCCTGCTCTACCACGGAGCCACAGTCGCCACTATTCATATGTAGAAAACAGTCATAAAAGTATGCAACAAAACAAGTCACAGTATATAGTACGCCATAAAACAAGTCACAGTATA